ATAGTGTGAGGATCCTCTTGCAAATGGGTCCAGGCCAGGGTGTTAGAACTGTCAGGAGGAACAGAAGTCATTTCTTTTTAATGTACAGTCTGAGAAGTGCACTTTCCCCTAATGTCCTGAACAAATGTATTTGTCCTCAGGCTCCCGCTGCTGAAAATGTACAATTGTGACTCACCGACACATGCTGAGACGCGACACCTGGACCCCCTGAGAGGCCCCTGTGCCCCTGAGCACAGACACCCCTGACACGCTGCTCTTCCCAGTTGTGTGTAAAGAGGTGACTGAGACTGGTCAGGGCCACAGCCTCAGGCCCGTCCATCCTGCTCCCAGCCGAGCACCCCACACAGCCTTCCCTGACACCTCCTCTCCTCCACGTGCCCCTCAGTCTCCAGGAGCTGCTGGCTCCTCAGGGCCAGTCCACACACCTTCACTCTGGGTCTCAAGGCAGCGTGTGGCCATTTGTTAGCACCATCCTGGGAGAACGGACTTTCCTAAAGTGACCTGAGCTTGGGAACGCGTCAACGATTTCTCTGTTGAGAGGACAAGTCATCCGACTTTAGTAACATTTCCTGATGATCAGCCACCACCTAGATCTATTCCAAAATATAACTATGATTTGTTTCATGATTTATGGAAATGACCTTCCCTCTGAAAGGGATTCTTCTTCCATAAGCCAAGTAATTTACAAGGACACTAAAGGGATTGTGAGGCTAGTACAAGTCCACATGCCTCATACAGGCCCAATTATGTTCCCATATGGGAATTCTGGGACAGAGAATCACCTGTGGGCTCAGCCTGTCTTCCAGTTCTGAGCTGAGTAAGTTGCACATCACTCCATGCCTCAGTTTGTCATGAGATATATGGGAATTACCTCCCTGAAAGGGATTGTTATACCATCGTATATGTAATTAACAGGGACACTTGTCATTCCTTATGCTGACTCATAATACAAGTGTTTGATGCTGACACTCAGTGTTAACATTATCATTGTATTGACTGTCTTGTCTTTGAGAGTGGGATTAGTGTGGACACATGTTATAACAATTCCCTCATTGCGGGTGGCCTCAGGATCGTGGTTTGCGAGGAGAGTGGAGTTGTCATTCCCCTTGCTGAGACCTCTGCTTTGATGGACCCTGGGTCTGCTTTGAGGGACCCTCCATCGCTCCTGTGTCTGAAGGGACAGTTGCCGCAAGAAAACTCACCCTCCCCTCACTTGGACTCCTGTGGTGACCTCAAGACATGGGGCTGTGGAGCATAAAATGTGGGCAATCCTGGAAGAGATGTGCTGTAGTTCTGAAATACCCACCATTTTTAAGAGACTAAATATAAAATAATGTAAATACAGTATATTTATACTGAATACCTATGAAAATAAAACATGTTTTGAGTATTTTAGTTAAAATTAATATGAACTACTTCTACCTGGTTCTCTATCTTTTAAATGCATAAACTGGAATATTTGGATTACATTTGTGGTTCACCTTTTATTTACATTAGACTGAGAGGCATGTCAAAGCCCCACTATCAGTCACTGACTTTGAAAGGCAGACACCCCAGCAGACATTCAGGAGAGTCCGTGTCTCAGTTTTGAAAGCTCAAGCAGAGCAGCGATGCAGGAGAGTTCCTTTTTCACCACATCCTTGCCAAATTTTGTTGTTGCTGGTATTTTTGATATGTGCCATTCTGACTGGTGTAAGGTGGTATCTCAGTGTGGTTTTGATTTGCCTTTCATTGATTATACGGGATGTTCAACATTTTTTCATATGCCTCTTGGCCATTTACATTTCCTCTTTGGAGAAAAGTCTTACATCTTTTAAATTCCTCTGCCCATTTCTTGACTGGATTGTTTATTTTGTTTTGTTTAGTCCTGTGGGTTCTAGGTATATCTTTGTGATCAGTCCCTTATCAGCTGAATGGAGTGCAAAGATTTTTCCCAATCAGTGGGGTGTCCCTCTGTTTTGGTTAATGTCTCTTTTTTTTTTTTTTTTTTAAAGATTTATTTTATTTATTTATTTATGCAAGCACTGGGTACAATCAAGCGCGGGAGGGTGAGAGAATTCACCAGAGCCAGAGCGGGGAGCAGAGCAGGCAGAAGGACCGAAGTACACTGCTGAGGGGAGCAGCGGGCGGCAGGAGAGGTCTGCGCGCCATGTGGGACCCTCCTCTGGTGGCCGGGGAGCAGCCGGGGGTCGAACCGGCGCTGCAGAGGCTGCGGGCAGCCTCGCAACCCAGCGCTCAACCCCTGTGCCACCAGGGAGGCCCTGGTTAATGTCTCTTTTGCTGTACAGAAGCTTTTCAGTTTGATGTAATCCCAGGTGTTTATCTTTTCCTTGACTTTCATTGTTGAGTGATGAGTCTTTAAAGATGTTATGGAGATGTATGTCTTGTAGTGTTTTACTTATATCTTCTTCTGTATACTTTATGGTTTCAGGTCTTATGTCCTGTTCTTTTATCCATTTTGAGTTTATTTTAGTCATGCTGTATGTATCAGGACCTAAGAGAGTTTAGGTTCATTCGCCAGTGTCCACTACCTATGATGTGATGTAGGAAAATGGACTTAAGCCAGACATTTTTCTGCCTCCCACTGCCAGCCTCTGTGGTTGTCACCTGTGGCCTTGTTTTCCTCCCGGGTCTCACTGCCCACACATGATAACGTGTTGGTGTGAAAAGTTCTTGGGTGCATGAGCATGGCGTATGAAAGGTCATGCAGACTGAGAGGCTTGAGCACGGGTCCCACATGCCTATATTTGTGGACACCGAGACCAAGAAGCAAGAACATGGGCGCCCTACCTACAAGTGCTGACACCCAGGGGAGATCATTATCACCAGAGTGAGATGAGATGAGATGAGACTGAGAGAGAAACTGAGAGGAGAACCAAGAGAGTATGGAGATTTATGTGGTGCTGGGACTCAGTGGTTGCCTGACTCTCAGCCCCACTGCCATGCTGCCTGCTGGTCTGTCGGTGCTCAGTTCCTTCCTTCATATTTGAAGGCCTATCACATCTATCCAGGGCTCCAAGACTATCTCTTCTGTCTGCTTGAATCTGCAGTGAACCTGACAGGCATGGGACACCCCCCCCCATATGTGGTTATAACTGAGACTCAGCTGGGAGATGATGCAGGGACCTCCTGACAGAGGCGGGGCCTGGGACCTGGCATCAGGGCGTCATTGGCCCCGAGTTTCTCAAAAAGGAGGCATCAGCTTGGGAAGGAGCTTCTCTCAGACTATGGACGCCCAAGAGGGCACATCTGTGAGCAGCCTGGGGCCCCCAGCAGCGGTGGTGGGGGATGTGTGTATGTGTGTGCCTGTGTTTGTGTGTGTTCCTGTGTGTGCGTGTGTATCAGGACCTAGGAGAGTTCAGTCATTCTCCAGTGTCCACTGCAATTGTTCCTGTTTTCATAATGTCAGAGGAGACACGGGAACGAGGGACTTTAGCAAGTCAATTAAGCTGAGGTTCCTGGGGATTTACTCAGAATATTTAGCCAACAGCTCCCAGGCACCACTCTAAGGAAATCCAAGAACCATGCCAACTTGTTAAATTCATAGCACAAGGCATCCATCAGGCTCCTGTGGCCTTGAAGCCTGAGGAGCCAGTGTCAGCACCTGAGCCTGGTCCTGAGCCGCCTCAGGTTTCAGATCAAAACTTGAACAAACAATCACCTGTAGCCACAGGTCTCCCTTGTCAGGCACTGCTCGCATCTAGACCATCCATCACATCCTCGCTTTGCTTCTGCCTCTTCCCCATAAAAGTATTTCCTCGTTTTGTTCTGGCAATTTCCTAACGGTTTAAATTTGGTGCTTATTGTTCAAATGGAATTTTCTAAAAAATGTTCCTCTCTCTTTCTTTTTCTCATTCCTTTTTCTACCATCCAAAGACCTGCAAGGGCCAGCCTGGCCCTGAGCCTAAATCCACCCCTTACACACAGGCTGCACAGTCTGCCTGGGGCCTTGTGCAGGCGAGCCTGGGGACCACAGATCTGGGACCAGGGTCCGAACTGCCCGTTGCTGTGTCTTCAACCTCCTGGTGCTGGAGGACAGTGTGACCCGGACAGTATGTGTGTCTCAGTTCCCCCATAAACCTGTGTTACTGTTAGTTCAAGTCACCAGGATCCTACACCTGATAGCACAGTCAGCCTCATCCTCGGACCGGGTCCCGCTGATGGTCAGGGTAGCTGAGTTGCCCAAGTTGGAGCCTGAGACCTGGTCAGGGATCCCTGAGGGCTGGTTGTTATCCTCATAAATGACAGTCACAGGGGCCGGTCCTGGCTTCTGTTGGTAGCAGTTAGCATATTCACCTCCAGTGTTGTCTCCCTGAAACGTCATCCTGGCCGTCTCTCCCAGAGACACCGACACTGAGGGTGGCTGAGTCAGCTCGTCGGAGACCACAGAGCCTGAAAGAGAGAAAAGGAGAGAGGGGTTAAAGTGCTGGAACCATTGCAAGAGCATCTCCGCTCTCCTGGCCTGGACTCGGATCCAGTGGTTGTCTATGTCCACAGTTTCCCCCTTCCTTCAGCCTCATCCTCAGTGCCAATTCTATAAGCCTCAGACCACAGGCCATGGAGTCTGAAATGAAGACATCATTGACAATTGTGATGACTGTCACTCAATTTTAGCTGATGGTGACTGATGCTCCCCATGTTACGTGAGGGCATCATTGCCCCTGAGTCTCTCAGAGAGGAGGCTTCATCCGAGAAACAGCTTCCCTCAGACCCTGGACTTCCATGAACGCTCAGGTGTGAGCAACCAGGGGCTCCCACAGTGTCCGAGGAGGTGCTCTGTGTGCGTGTGTGTGTATGTGTGTGTGTGTGTGTGCGCATTTCAAATCCTAAGAGGTGCTACATTCATTCTCCAGTGTAGGCAAGCGAAGGGGTGGCCTGGGCACTCAGATCTGGGGCCCGGGTCAGAGCTGCTCATAGCTGTGTCTCCATGCACTTGGGGCTGGAGGAGAGCGTGACCCAGACAGGGAAGGGGTTTGTGTCTCACTTCCCCATGGTCTTTGTCACTGTGGATGTTTACTGCTGCTGTCCCACACCTGACAGTAATAGTCAGCCTTGTCCTCGGCCCGGGCACCGCTGATGGTCAGGGTGGCTGTGTTCCCCGAGTTGGAGCCAGAGAACCGGTCAGGGATCCCTGAGGGCCCTGTGCTATCCTCATACATTACCATCACAGGGGCCTGGCCTGGATGCCACTGGTACCAGTGAGCATATTTATTACTTATGTTGTCTCCCTGACACGTCATCTTGACTGTCTGTCCCAGAGACACCGACACTGAGGGTGGCTGATTCAGCTCATAGGAGACCACAGAGCCTGCATGGAGACAAGGAGAGGGGGGTTAATGTGCAGGACCCATTCCCAGAGCATGTCCGCTTGCCTGGCCTGATTCAGATGCAGTGGTTTCTGCACCCCTGGGGGCCCCTTCCCTCAGTCTCATCCTTAGTGTCCTCTGAGCCTGGATGTGAATGACATTATGACATATGATTAAATTCCCCACCACTTCTCTTAGCAGGCACAGGCCCTCAGGGTCACACCAAACAGTGAGCACAGCGGGGGTCTACCCATACCAGGCCCCGCCTAAGCAGAATCATGAGATTCTGGCCCCCACAGGCAGCCCCACTGAGCACAGAGTCAGGGCCAGGCTGGTCCCTCAGCCTGAGCCTGGGGTGCAATGAGCCCATGTTAGGTACCTGTGCAGTGAGCTAGGAGGCCCAGGAGGAGAGAGGTCCAGGCCATGGTGGGGTCCCTGATCCTGCTCCCTGAGGCTGAGGCTGAAGCTGGGCAGAATCCCCCCAGGCCTGTCTTATCCCCTTGCTGGAGAGAGCTGCTGGGTATGCAAATCAGCCAGGGTCAGACTGCTGCTTGGGGAGCTTTGTGGTTTCAGAGAAGACTCAGGGATATTATTTTTAGAGTCCCCACCCTCAGCATAGGGATTCTGATTCTCTGCTGGTCTGGTTGAATCTCCTCCCCAGACTCTCTCCTGGCCTCTGTGCTGTAAGCCCTTTCCTGGGCAGAGCTCAGGATGGAGTCTGTCTGTGTTTTCTGGTTCTGGCCTGTAGGTGCCATTAGGAGGCTTAGTGAGGGAGTTCTCACCCCAGAGTGCAGTACCCAACAGCAGAACAGAATAAACCTCCTCTCTTGCACAGCACACGTAGCATCAGGGAGGCTTTAAATTTTCCTGCAGTTTGCCTGAGGCTGGTGATAGGGGCTGTGCCTCGGTATCCCCAAGTTTGCTTAGGTCAGATAGATATCATGTCCTCCCAGGAAATGCTTGGTGACCCCTTTGCAAACTCTAAAAGCAGCTGAGATGAATATTCACCCTAATTAAATGTATTTAATTCTTGTATAAGATATAAAATTATCAATTTATAATCAAGGGAACAAAAGTTTTTGGAGCAATCACAGGTGCCAGGCTCTCATCTAGGAGATGGAAAGTCTTCACAGTGGGTTGGATGAACCAGAAAATAAGAAGGATCTGGGATCTCATGGAATGGGTAGGTATCTGTGGAACAGGCATCTCATGCCAGAGTTATTGCAGGAGAAAAAAGAGCATCTTGTCTGTTCATTCCTCAGGTTGTTCTGTATTTGCTGGCTGGTGACCACCCATGGAAATGACCAAGCTGACTGGGAACAAAGGAGCAACCATCACGGTGGTCACACCATGGCGGACAAGCAGGCCTGGTCCTCATAACAACCACCTACCAGCTAGCAATTTCGCTAGACCCTCCCAAAGCAGACCCAACCAGCAGTGAACCCCAGAGACCTGTGCTCCCCCACAGCCCAGAGACTGCCATACCCCACCCCTTTAGCCTGTGTGTGTCCATTGGGAAAATGATTCACAAAAATCAATCATTTATTGATTAAAAATATATTTTTACTTTTTCTTCTTTTTCTTACACACACTCACACACACATGCACACACATCTTATCTTTTTAAAGAACAGTGCCCTGAGTTTGGCTCTTGTCCCTACCCCTGCATCCGCACAGCCAGTCTGCAGGGGGGACCTGCTCCCCATCAAGGCTGGTGGAGAGAGACTGGGCAGCATCTGAGCCCGGAGTGTTGGGATGTGGAGCCCTGTCCAGACCTGGGTTCTGAGGCAGCAGAACCCAAATGCCACCCTGGGCGGGCGCAGGGTCCTCTCTTGTGGACCCCAGGGTGGGAGAGTCTCCTCATGCTCCTGTGCAGAGATGAGGTCAGGCAACCTGAGCATGTACTACACATGACTGCCCCTTCAGCTGATTTCTAAATCAGTTGATACCAAAACACCCCTACTCAAAAGATAAATTATTTGGGGAAAAAATCCTCTCCATGTCTGGACTGATTTTTGTCTGGCTAGTGAAACTGTGTTAGGCTCATACTTTGTCAGCCCCGACTTTCCTCCTTTCTTCTGTCACTGCCGTTATCCTGTCTTAGCTCCCAGATGGGGGAGGCAGATGTGAGCCTTGAGTCTCCTGTGTCCTTGTCTGCCAGCTCAGAAACAACTCTTTCTATTGTCAGTAGTCAGAGTCAGAATATTGGCTTCCATGTGTGCTGGCAGTGAGACCATTGCTCTGCAACAGGGAACGTTCTGGGTTTTCTGAGGATGAAAGCCCATGACACACTCAGATGTCTATGATCAAAGCCAGTTCAGTCCCATTGTGACAGGTTTTCATGAGAGCTTTGGGGCAGTGATCAGTGTGTCATCAGGAGGAATCTGCAAGTGACATATCCGGGTCTCCAGCAGCAGAGCAGCGTAGAGGGAACCTCCAGGACCAGCCCTAAGGTGGGTGACTCAGGTGGGTTGAGTCCAGCCCCTTAGCTGATCCTGTTGGGATCCTGGGGTGAAGACAGGGGAGTGGTCACCTATCCTCCTCTTTGTATTGTTACCCATAATGTGGCCAGGTGGGGATAAAGGGCTTGCCTGTGCATCCTGACCTGGACATCTCTCGTAGGTCCACTAGTAACACTGAGGGCAGCGTGTGCACTAGACAGCAGAGGTCACACCAACATGAACACTGACACCCGGGGTGCAGTGTTACTCAGAGGCCTGGAAGGTGTTTCGCTGGAGACGGGATCAGGTGCCCAGTGGCCTTGGCATCACATGAGATCACACAGCTGTGAGGAGACTCCATAACTTTGTAGACAAATATTTGAAGAAAGAAAAGGTGATTTTTGAAATAAAATGTCAGAAATGGGATTTATCTCTCTTGTGGGGAAGGTTTTTAAATTTTTCACAAGTGTGAAATTTTGTCAGACTTGAGTTAAATACATTCCACCTTTTGTATCTACATCACTTATTTTGAGATATAATTCAAATACATTGTTTTAACCATGAAAGTCAATAAAATGCAGTAGGTTTTGGTATCTTTACCGTAGTGCTAGTATCACTACAATCAGTTTTACATAATTTTGACATTAAATGAACCCCATCCTTGAGTTCCTGCCTCTGGACAACCTAGTTCAAAGCAACCATGGGGGCCTCCCTGGTGGCGCAGCGGTTGAGCGCTGGGTTGCGAAGCTGCCCGCGGCCTCTGCGGTGCCGGTTCGATCCCTGGCTGCTCCCCGGCCACCGGAGGAGGGTCCCACATGGTGCACAGACCTCTCCTGCTGCCCGCTGCCCCCTCAGCAGTGTACTTCGGTCCTTCTGCCTGCTCTGCTCCCCGCTCTGGCTCTGGTGAATTCTCTCACCCTCCCGCGCTTCTGACTGTACCCAGTGCATGTATAAACAAAACAAACAAACAAACAAGCCAGCAAACAAATAAATAAAGCATGCCTCTATAAAAAAAAAAAAATTGCATTTAAAAAAAAAAAAAGAGAAAAAAAAAAAAACCAAAAAAACAAAGCAACCATGGTAAGTTTCTCTGTCTTTCTTTATATTTCTCTATTCAGGGCTTTATACAAGTAGAGCCGTGTGGTGTGTGGTCTTAATGCTGACTCCTGTCATTGCACAGTACCCCTGGCTTCACTCTCACTGGAGTATGGAACAGAATTTCATTCCACTTCATGGCTGAGGAATATTCTATGCTATTCACACACCATGGTGAGTCAATCCATTCATTCATTGACAGATTTTGGGGTGTTTCCACCATTTGCCTATTTGGAACACTAATCCTGCAACAAACATTTTATATGTATATATATTTTATATCATTCTTTCTTTTTTGTGTAATGCATGCTTTCTCCTCTCAGATGTAGTTCCCATGTACAAGAAACATTTTTATACAAGTTTTCTGTAGGTATATGTTTTTACTTTTTTTGGGGTCTATGCTGTGAACAGTGCTTTTGGACCATATGTTACCTTTAGAATTAGTCATTAGAGCAATCTCCAGACTGTTTACCAAAGTGGCTCTACCTTTTTCTTTCTGCTATGTATGAGAGTTTCAATTCTTCCAAAGTCATGTCATCACTAGTTATTATCTGTTTTACCACACGTATCGGTGTTAAAGTGGTTTTTAATTTTGGTTTTGAATTGCATTTCCTAATGACTGACAGTGGTGAGCACATCACAAGCTTATGGCTGTTTGCACATTTCCCCACAGAAAGATCTCCTTAGTTTGATTTTCTCTCTCATACAGGTCATGTTCTGTCTCTCATCATTTTGGTGCTCTGTGATTACCTGGACCATCACTACCTGTTTGGGTCCTGAGGGTTAGTCATGTGCTGTGATGAGTGTCCTTCTGGAGCACAGTTCCTGTTTCCCCAAGTTGTGTGCTGAGCTGAGTCCCTGCAGGGACATGCCACCTGGGTGCCATATTGGGCCAGCCTGTGGGTAGGGCTGTCAGAACTGCCAGACACTGGCACTTAGGATTTGACCCCAATTCCCCACTCAGGTGGGATCAGGGGTTGGTGCTGCGGGTACACATGTATCCCTTGGCTGCTTGGTGTAGCTGCAGAATGTGCCTGAGCCGAGGCTGTGCCCCGCTGCTGAAGACTAGGTTGTTGGGGCAGAGCACACACGTACAGGCTGAAGGGGTGGGGCCTGGCAGCTTCTGGGCTGTGGGGGAGCACAGGCTCTCTGGGGTCTACTGCTGGTGGCTCTGCTCTGGGAGTGTCTAGCGATTTTGCTAGACACAGGGGGTGTTTATCAGGGCTAGGTCTGCTTGTCTGCCAGGTGTGACTCAAATTGATGGTTGCTCCTTGGCTCCCAGCCAGCTTGGTCATTTCCATGGGTGGGCAGAGACCTCATGAGGGGCTTGCCTTCAGGGTCTGGGGGGTGAAGGGTGGGATCCAAGATGGCACCAACTCTACTGTTATTATCCAGTGGCCAGAGGCTGCCAAGATGGTACCTGCTGGTGACCTGGATTATATTTTCATTTTTTTTAAAGATTTATTTATTTATTTATTTATTTATTTATTTATTTATTTATTTATTTATACAAGCACTGGGTACAGTCAGCATGGAAGGGTGAGAGAACTCACCAAAGCCAGAGCAGGGAGCAGAACAGGCAGAAAGAGTTAAGTACACTGCTGAGGGGAGCAGCAGGCGCGGCAGGAGAGATCTGCTGTGCCATGTGGGACCCTCGCCGCCAGCCAGGGATTGAACTGGTGCTGCAGAGGCTGCGGGCAGCTTCACAGCCCAGAGCTCAACCGCTGCGCCACCGGGGAGGCCCATATTTTCATATTACTTGTCTCTCAGGCCAGGCTTTAAATGTGCTTACATGCAGGTCAAACTGAAATGATTTTTTTGTGTCCCAAACTCAAACTGAGTCTGATCAAAGTCTCTTTAGGGCTCAATCTTTGTCTCTGGTTCTCCTC